ATGTGATAAAAATTTCGAGAATTTACAATACAGTCATTGCAAAAGTTATAATAAAGGTTAGTTAAAAGATAAAGCCAAATTGTTTTGACTTTCTTCTCTGTTGAGAGAAACTGGTGCGTGTTTGTAGATTCTGATTTTATAAGCATAGCAGCTTTTTTGGCACATTAAAAAAATATTACATTGTAGCCCATAAACTTCTTAGTGAAGGGAGGGGGGGGGACACATCATGACATAGATTTGAAAATTCCACAAAAATTTATCAAATTATTTTTGGGCCCTCGTAAGCGAAGATTTGGGGTTATACTGTATAGTTTTGTCCTGTCCATCTGTTTGTTCGCAAAAACCTTTCCTTGCCCATATAATATGATTGGTGAGAGTTATAACTTCCATATTTTAAATGTGTATTTCTTATGACAAGTCTTTACTTTTGGTACCAACAAATTAGACCTCTTAATCCTTCCCTTGCAGTTTGGCCCACTTTTGCAAAAAATTACCTTACCTTAACCTTGGCTGTAACTTATTTCTTTTGGATACCACAGATTTTTAACCTTTTAACTGTAACCTTAGAGTTGACCTACCTTTAATAGACTTTAACCTTGAACATAACCGTTGGACATTTGTGCTAAGGCTTCTACATTTCACAAGTTTTTTTTCTTATGACAAGGCCTTTTCATTGGTACCATTATTTTTTACCTTAACCTCGGAGTTTGACCCACTTTTATAAAACTCAAACCTTGGCCATAACTTTTGAACGGTAGGTGCTTGGTCTTCATATTTCACAGTCATGTATATTCATTGAGACAAGTCCTTTCTTTGGGTAACAACTTTTTTTATCTCTTGACCTTGAAGTTTGACTTGCAACTGCCATATGGAGAAATGTTTCAAGGGAAGAAAAAAAATATTTTGACGAAGAGCGGTTCGAGATCCAGCTTAGGGGTCGAAATGAAGATTCAAATTATTTCTCGACATCGACGGGACAGTCGGAAAATGTCGAGATATCCGAGGAAGAGATATCAGAGTTTCGATGTCCTTAATTTTACTGCATAGCAAAACCATAGACTTAAACTGAACAGACGTATAACTACAGGTACCTACATGTCTTCAATTAGACTGTAGCTTATTTGTTTAAGCTATTCCTCTATATTTATTAGAAAATTTGAGAAGTTTTTCACAAATGTTATTTATGAAATGCTTTCTTTTTTTATCGAAATCTTATGATTTTACTAAAAACCGTTCTCCATCCAGCATTCGATCCGCGTGCCACTAGCTCTGTCAGAACAGGAAACGAAATGCGCTCTATAAACTCCAAACTGCAACGGTTCGACTTGACATACGGAAAAAAATTAATGCGTATATTTTTTTTTTAAATTATTTCACTTCACTTCTTTTTTATTTCATAACCATTCATAATTAATATTCATTTCATTTTCAAACCAAAATTAAATTGGAATTGCGCATTTAACAAACTTCATGATGTTACATATGCATCCATATTACGACGGATGCAATAGTCGTTGTTAGATTTGATTGATCTAAATTCATTTTTACAATTTATAAGTTAAATTGAATTCATTGTGTATATTGTTCCTTGTTATTTAGTTCCTGTTTTTTATAAAATGTTTAATTCGATATAAATATCGAAGATTTATCAATGATATTACCCAAGCTATACATTAAACAATTAACGTATTAGAGACGCCGAGGGGGCTTGGGTTTCCTCTACAAACGGGCAGTATGTAGTCAAAACATAGGTGTGAAAGGTGTGAATTTCTGACGACGTCGAGATACACGGAGTCGTCCGTGCGTGACGAGCGACCAGCTGACAAACAATTTGGTTAAGTAGAGTAGAAAATTGCCCCGATGTCGACATATACCAGGTAAATTTTGCTCTTGGGACTGTGAAATACGTCGAGATAAGCGGGGTAGTCGACATTACCGAGGTCGACATATCAGAGTTTTTGCAAATCATTTATATAGTAAATAATGCCGGGACCGCGGACGGACGTCGACATATCCCAGGTTGTCGACATATCCGATGTCGAGATACCGAAGTTTACCTGTAGTTGATACGGTGTATAGTTTTGATTACATTGAAGGCTTTTGTACACGATTCTATTAATGCTGTGTTTTTACATTGTTAGATCTTTCTACAATCTTTTACTTATTTTCCAAAGTATTATTTTTCAATTATCAAAATATTCCCGAAGGCAATATTAAAATTCAGTTTAAACGAATTTCAATTTCCCTTTATTTTTCTCACGGGAGAAAAAAATTAATGGTTATTTTTGTTACGACGCTGTATTAAGACTATATAATAAATGTTCCTCTGATAGTAAACTAATTTAAGGCTTCATATTCGATTTGCTTCTAAACACACTATTAAAAATGTCACGTTTCAATACATCTCAAAATGTCGCCAAATGTTAATTTGATTTTATAAAACCGACACAATCAGTTTCATCAGTGAAGGCTAGCTCACGACAAGGAGCAAGATTCAATTGATACAGACATTAAAATTTTATAAGCAACAATGGGGAAATCTAAAGCTTTGTTGACCGTGTTAATGCTGAGTTGAAATCTCTGCCAGTTGCATGCAATTAATTCTCGAATGGCGATGAAACTGTCTTTTTTCCTTTTGTCGACTTAAAAACGATTCCACTTTGGAAACAATGCATGATTGAAATCCACGAACATAAATATATCATATTTGACCCAGAGTGCAAAGTCATAGGGATTCCATTTTATATTCAAGAAACTTAATAGCCCTAGATTCCTTTTATTTTCAAGTGATATTTACGAATGTGTATGTCCCTTAGGAGACTTCTCATATTTACAGAAAGGAAAATGTCACCTCCGATGTCGAACGAGGCTAGCGCAGAAACCAAGTAGAAAGAATGCGCCTAACGTGCTTTGACTGCATTTTCTAATCGATCAAAAGGAGTTGTGTGACTTTTACTTCTGACATGAGTCAATACGGAAGAAATATCATCTATCTTTAAAAAGTATAGATATCTAAACCGAGATGGTTTGGGGCATATCATAAAATGGTCACCAACTTTCAACTACCCGATTACAATATCCCTTACCATTTCAGAATTTCAGAATTTTACAATATCCCTGAAAACAAATCATCTTTCCAATAATAAAATAAAATACAGTGACAGTTTCAGATATTAGGTTTCTGGGATATCGAATTGCCATCACATTTTACATTACCCTTTATATTTCTATTTAGTATAACCAAGGAAAAAATATAGTATTTTTTCCAGATGAAACAAAGTATATCTTGTAATCTACATGAAATATGAACAGAACGAACAGTAAGCAAGCTCAAAAATTGAAACAATAAAAATCAGGAGCAAAGCAAACACAAAATTATACATAAGAGGTGCGATCAGGTGTCATGGAGATGTAAGCATCCTCTTCCGGTAACACCCGCCGTGTGCTCGTTGTCATGGACGGACTCTTGAAGAAGTCCACGAACAATTCAGTGTGTAAAAAATATTCTGACAATCTGTATGAAAAACGTCAGTCAGCTTTCGACATAATACCAAATTTTATTTGCTGACAATTCATTGTATCACAAGAGACTTTGCGAAAATACCGTAAATCTGGAAATTTTTGCTGTAGATAAATTTTTAGCAAATTTGCGAGTTCATTGCATTCGCAAAAATATTTTTCTTAAAAATAAATTACCAATAAGAAAATGTAAACAAATCAGAGGTGATTCGCAAAATTTTGAAAAGTGAAAATTAATCAACACCATTTTGACCCGAATTCGCAAAATAAAAAAATTTCCAGATTTACGGTAATGTTGATTTTAAAGGAGACTGATGATATCCTTGTTTCATCAACTTGTTGATTAATAGCCTGTCTCATTTGAGATTTTTTTTTTCATACGTAGAGCATGCTCTTGCGTATCGAATCAACTGGGAGACATACAATTGCACACTCTATGTACAGATGAAAAGGGTGTATTGTTAGATGTACATAAATAAGGGAAATTGTTACTAGAAAAATTAATGTCATCACGTTTATCATAAAGTTTTTGTTAGATTGCCATCAACATATATTTAATAAATATGAAACAGATGTATTAGACACTGTTTTATCTTTTATTTCGAGTTCAAGGGGAAATAATGAACAACGCAGGGATGATTGATTGATTCAATTTGATTGTATTTTTCTTAAACGTCCCTCTCGAAAAGTTTTCACTCATATGGAGACGTCACCACTTGCCGATGGAGAGCTACAAAGTTTGTCCTAAACTCGGCACTAACGGCCATTGAGCAATGAGGGATTTTTTCGTGCGACAATGGACTTCGGTTTATATAGTCTCATATGAAGAACAATCTCCATGTCCCACAGTGGGATTCGAACCCGCGACGTAAGGATCAGCTCCTTACTACCCGCCTCTATAACAGACACTCTAACCACTGCGCCACGCGGAAGCAGGGATGATAAAACGTCGACATATCTAAATGTTGATGTCTAAGCTTTATATGTGAATTTTGAGTCATCCTATATTAGTAGTTATCTTAAATATACTTTAAAAATTCTTTGATATAACTCTTGACAACAGTTGTCACTTTCCTACGACAGCCCTCAGCGGAGTCTTTCTGACTATGTCAGTTTCCTACTTGTTTTCAGTAAACCTCCGTACGATGTTTTAACTTTATCTCAGTGCTTCATGATATCTATACTCTGTATAACAACCCAACACGCCTACTGCAGCTATTACTTTCTCTGTGTGGGTCTAATTTCATAACAAAAGTCATAATCTAAACTTTTCAAATCCTTTTCCTCCATTAATTCGTATTTCTTTTCTCTCTTTTTCTGGATTAAATACATGGTATTGATCGCCTACAGGTAATAGTTATGCTGTCATCTGCCTAGGGTATGGCTTGTATTTTTATTTAAACAATGATTTACTGCTAAGAAGTCCCATTCGCCGTTATATAAAATAAAAACTTTAACCATTTTTCTTCTGTCTTTTGCAGCGCACCTTAATAAAGACACCTTATCATGTGATCTAACGATGGAGTCCGTGATTGACATCAAAGACTGGTTGCTGACCAAATGCAAAACAAACTCGACAACGTCCAGTAAGAACAACAGAGACTGCGGCAGCAACATAGGTGGCGCCATCACACCGGATACGATTCCAGAGTTTGTGATTCCTAAATCAAATGGAGGCTCCAGAAGAGGAAGTTACGACATTGATAATTTCGACAGCGAGCACCTCTTTTCTGTCTCGCGCAGAAGCAGTATTTGTTCCACTAAAACGAGTCCCGGAATTTCACCCAGTGCCTCGGCAGTGGTTTTGGAGACACGGTATGCCTCGTCGGCTCCTGGATCTCCGAGACATGAAATAAAAGATATAGTTTCAAGACACAAAACATCCAAGTCTATGAACTGCATTGGGGATACCAACTCTGATCCATTGTCAGTGGCGGCCATGTCACTTCATCACTTCCGTTCAAAAACTACGTATGGATTTAGTACATTATCACAAACTCCACACACTAGAAGAAAAGAGTCCCTTTTTCACATTCAAGGAAATGGTCTATCGTCACGTGATTCTCAGCGTCTGAGGTCACTTGAGGCCCTCTCGATTAGAGGCCGACCAGACATGATGGACGACGTCATCAGGTTTTCCGACCCAGACATTTCCACGAGGAAGCACACTCCTTCCGTTATAGTTACCCCTTCCGCTTCGCAAATAAGTTCTTCAGAGATGTTGTCCCCCGAACGTCAGCCAAACCATCTCCTCGCCGCATCGCGCTTGTTTATAAAAAATGGAAATATTGCCAATAGAAACTTGAGGAAAGGTAATTTGTACTACAGACGCCGATCCTCTTTATTAGGTCTCGATACAGACGAATCAAATACCTCTTCTCAAGATTCTCTTGTCGAAGTCAGCCAACCAAAAAAATCTAGTAAAAGAAACGAAAAGGATGTTGTCGCACTGAAACGACACTCTTCCCCGCAGCTAAGGGAGTCTGGACTCGTCGAGGCATGTGAGCCGCATAGGTCAAAATCGTGCGCCCTAATAAATAGTTCCAATTCAAAACATACAACCAAACATGGAGAACTTAAGTTTGCCTTCCAGTACCTAGCCGCAACTAAACAACTGAAATTAACACTGATCAAAGCAGAATGTCTCGGTGGTTCCGACAAAACGGACTCAAATTTGAACCCTTACGCAAAAGTTTATCTTATGCCTGGAAAACTTCAAAAACAGGTGTCTGAATTGTTTAAACATACACGAAAACCAGTATTTGACAAAAGTTTCTTTTTTCAAGGACTGTCATTAAAACAGCTACATGCCATGACACTGAGAATTAAAATTTTTCACAAATCGCATAACCTACGACCGCCAGAGCTGGTCGGAAGAACCGACCTGGAGTTGGAAAATTACGACCTCATGACAGAAAACCGGATGTGGAAAGACCTGGATACAGTTTGTGAAAGCGAGGTAATCTGATTTTCTAGACATCAACATTAATTAAGGTCTGATTTTTCAAGACATTGACTTAGTCGAAATGAAAAATGAAATCTATCATTGTGTTCATCCGACGTCCGATTGTTCATACCATACTTATATATATCATATAGTATTCTCTTTGGCAAAGCCTTTCCACTAAGAGAATAATATCTATGGATAAATGATTTTACTTTTTATCCCCTTTTTCTTATTGGCTTTACCGTCTATAGTAGCTCAGTCGATAGGGCGCTAGCTCGCTCCGTGATCGGAAGTTTGCGAGTTTGAATCTCAGCCGCTAACCTACATGTAAGTCGATTAAAAATTAGTTGGTAGCAACTGTTCCGTCGCCATGCGCTCGGCACTTCGAAGTGAAACTTACGGGTCCTTCGGATGAGACCTTAAAAAACCAAGGTCCCGTGTCAAAACAGGCGTTGGCATGATAGAGATCCATCACTGCTCAATGGCCCTGAATGCCAGTAAAGGTCAACATTTGAAGCCCTTCACCAGTTAATATATGTTGATATCTCTCTATGAGTAAAAAATTTCTCGAACTGGACGTAAAACAACATACAATATAATCAATCAATCTTCACGGCTGAGGTAAAGGTCATAGAAATCCTCGGTATGTAACCGGAAGTAAATGTCTCCCACAATTTAGGTGAAAAATCGAAATCTTGCAATGTCTTCTTTGACCTTTATAAAAATATCAAGGTTGTAACGCTTATGAAATGCTAAAAAATATTGGGATTTCCGTTATGGCTTCGATCTGTCCCGTCAGATTTTGCCGAAGTGACCTTAGATCTGGGTAATGACACTTCTATAACCTTAGGCAATCATTGTATTGGATTATGGTCTTTGCAAACGGAAGAAATACATGGCAATGGCAGTGATTAAACACCAATACTAGTACACAATAAAACAGGGTAGTCTTTTATTAATACTCGATTACCCCTTAAATAATATCCACCAGATATACGTCTATATTCATGTACATTATTAAAGAAACTGACGTAGAAATACACCTGTTTGTCAATACATGTAATTTGTACTTCTCAAACAAGTGATGTGAGCAATCGTATTTGTCTATGAAGGCAATAAAAAAGGGTTTTTTTATAGTATTGAAATAAATAATAAGGCCGAGGTTGTAAAAAGTCCATGTATGCCTGTCTGAATGTTTGTCTTCAGATATAATTCAATTTTTAATTCATCCCATTGAATCGAAAGTATAAAAGCAATGGCATGTGTCTTTTTTTTTTCTCTAGAAACGTGCACTTTTGCCCAGTGACCTCAACTTGGGATTATGACCTTGAGTGACTTTCAGTTCAAAGACAGCCCCATGTACATCAATAAATTTATTTCAATTTGTTTATCACAGTAACCTTGACCTTTGACCAGTTAAAGATTTCGAATTTTTAATATGGCCAAGACATAATTTTAACATTTCTTTGACATTTCTTTGACATTTCTTGCTTTAATCGGTGTAACATACTCGCATCTGAGTTTACTTTAGCTAAAGGCACTATACACTTATACACTGGTTGTGAGTGGCATAGCTCTTTTATCAAACCCGCTACAGGGAATGGTCCCTGTCAAGGGTTTGATAATAGAGCTATCCCACTCGCAAACAGTGGATAAGCGTTTTATTACACTGATGTATTATAAAATATCGTCTTCATCTGTTCATAGGAAACAAGACAATGTCGCCTTCAGTGGGATTAAAAAGACAAATTTAATTTGGCATAGTTGCCTGTCCGTCTGTCTGTAGCTTACGAAATTGATTTTTCTTTGGATTGCTCTTACTAAACCAGGAAATCCCCGATAAAACATATGCAAGTACGAATTTAAGTGTATAATAAATATGTACAAATCACTCGACACGTTAAGGAAATCACATGAGGATAGTCACCAAAAGTAAACCATAAGATACTTCCTATCATTGTACATAGGATTACTATGAAGGATTGATGTAATTTGGCCGGTAAATTGGTCATTAACAATTCGGTTGAGCTTTAAGGAACCCTCCATTTCCATTAAGAAAAAATCCTGTAATTCCCAAACCGTTGCCTTCGATGTAACATATTAGATTAAATTGAAAGGAAAGTGGGTTTTTTTTTTATATACGAGCTTATGCTCTCATCTGAAAATGTAAGTCGGGTCCGCAATTACTGAGTGATCCAAAAAATTAATAAATGACTCAGGAAAAGTTCAAAGGAGAGCTGTAAATCACTATATAAGATCAACGTGAATTCTATTCTAATTGTTTTTTTTTAAAGAAATCAATATCTTCTCAAAGGCTATAGATAACAGAACAATTAGGTCAATGGGGCTCTAAGACTAAAACTCAATGATAAAACACTCTGCCAAAAGCGGAACAGTTAGTTAATTTGTCGATGACGAAACATTTCAGAACTTTGAAGAGATTTAAAAAATCTTGAATTGGCGAAGAAGTTCAAATTTTATCTTTTTCTTAACTTTCAGGAAAAATTTGGTTTCAAGGCATATAACTTTTTTCTTAGTTGAAATTTTTATGCTCGAAAGATTTTTACTTTATTTCAATTTTAAAATCGTCCAACAAATTACCATTGTTTGAGGAGGGCCTAAAAAATGGTCCAGTTTATTTTATTTTGGTTACATTTTTCCTCTTTTCGTTATCTTAGATGATTGGTTGTTAGTTTGTTACAGTAAACGGCAAATGATCATATGGTTCAATAGTGATATTATATCATCATTATTTATTTTTGAAAAGTGGTGAAACAATTTAGTTAGAAATTTTAATATGCCTAATTCATTGAAGTACATCATGTTTGTTTTTAAAACTTCATATACCTTTTTTTTAATTTGCAGGTTTCATCTATTCATGTTATGTGTTGGATGAAATTTAAATAGCTAGGAGAATTTGTAACTACAAAATTTTATCAAATTTCAAGTGAAAATATCTTAATCAGGTATTGTAAGTGGTTAAAATGTGACATCAAAAGTCATTTGGCAAGAAGTGGTGACCAAATAAGGAGGGAAATATTCATTTTCAAAATTTTCACATTTGTATTTTGAAAACTTCAGAAAGTAATTAAAATAGTTCATCATGTAAATTGGTTTCAATTTTCTTTAGTTTAAAGTGGGACATTCTTACATTCTCGTTGCAGGCAAAAGAAATTGGCTATGTGTGACAGTCTCATTACCTGCAGCTAGAGTTGGTCTTTATTCGTACTAAATGTCATTTTCGTGTTGAGTCTCAATTTGAAGCTTTGATTTTAATGATTTTTACCGGTATTTCTAAAGAACAATTGTAATTCGGCGACTAAGCAAAACCAATTATTATAAAAAGCAGATTTAATTTTACGTAATCGACTTATGGATGGGGGGGGGGGGGGTTGATATTCTCTAATAGCACCTAAATGTATACGTATGCATTGTTGAATAATGTGTACGTAGAATTTGAAATAGTAATAGTTAGAATACAGGCAACTACAAAGATTCTCCTTATATTCTGGATTCGCCAAACTTCTTGCATGAAACAGAATCGGGTTTCAATTAAGACGTTTTGGCTCGCGTAGAGCAGATGGATTTTCTCACTAGCGAGAACTGTTATTAAGAACAGGATATAGTTAAATGAACTCCCCAAAACTCCATAAAAATTGCGTTTAGAAAGACAGAATCAAGTTCCAAATTAGGCTTTCTGGTTCGCTTAGAGCAGGTGAATGCATTAATTGTTATATATACGGGATTAAGTTGAACGAACTCCTCATATTTAAGATTATATTGTCTCCAGAAAGACACTCAATAAATCATTTAGTATACTATCTTACTATAGCAACAATGCTGCAGATTTCCCGTATGGGTGATAAGTCTTAATGGAATTCTTTAATGTATAGACTGACGTGAATTTGAACGAGGAATAGTAACGGAAGACAAAACAAATTTAGTTCCGTCAGTTGTTGAGTCAAGGTGACCAATGGCAGCAACCAGCTGTATATCCACATTAATCTAGAAACAAAAGAAACGAGCGATACTGACGTGTAAATTTCATAAATACATAAATTTTGTGATAAATATTTCATTCTCTTTTGTTTGCCCTGGGTGGGTGGGGGATATACCGGTATTCCGAGGACCTACTTACTAGTACTAGACATCATCTGCAAAATGGCAAACTTGTCAGTGCATGCTGCACGTTTTTATTTTCAGTTTAAAGAATAAGGTAACCAACAAAATAATTAAATAAAACAACAAATAAAAACACAAGTTTTTTCGTTACTTCATTCTTGCAATATCGAATCGAAACGTACTTAGTAATCATTTTGAAACTGATCGCATGTCATACGATTATCTTGCCGATCAGTATTGTTTAGAGAGGATAAAATTGCAATAGTTTCCAGGCATAGAGACACATCTACATGTATCTCAGACAGGTCATTAAGTAATTAACCAAAAAATCCCTGAAAAAAGGACACATGCCCTTTACAGACAATTATACTCTCTTATTATACAACCTTAGTACCTATTTGCAGTTCATGTTTCAAATGAAGGATATGCCACTGGTTTAAATATGTGATTTTATTGCGATGCATCAAAACGTAACAAAGAACTTCATTAATTGATTTGTTCAAAATGAAAAAAAAAAAGGTAACGAACTGTGATCGATGTCAAAAAACTACAAGCAATACAAATCTCATCGTCGGATACCCACGGGTGATCTTCACGTCATGAGTAAAAGACGAGATCACCCGTGGGTATCCGACGACGTACAAATCTGTAAACCGAGCATAAAAAGTCCCCCCCCCCTAACCCCCCCCTCCCCCGCAAATTTCAGAGGTGACATCAAGTGCCTCGACGGAAAGAGCACATCCTCCGTTGACCTGTAACACCGGCCGCAAGACTGTGCATTGATCAAAAAGACGGAGTATGAAAATGTTTTTAAACCAATGAAAACTTGGTGTTTTACTGTACTTGATTAAATAAAAAAATTACTCAATAATGTATAACTCATTGTACTTTATTTCTCCTGTAGGACCTGGGTGCCCTTGAAGTCAGTATGCGGTTCGAACCAAGAGAAGGCTGTCTTGTAATAGGAGTGTGTAGAGGAATAGGACTACCAGAACATCAAATCAAAGGCCCTCCAGGTGAGGGCAAATTGGGACGGGGATGGTCATTAATGTGTTACAGCTGTCTCCTATGTGGTATAAAATGCATACAGATATTGAAATGAACATACATGTATATCTTCAGCTATAATGTAGTTTTATTTTCTGGAGAAAAGGGGTTCCTATACACTGCCCATTAAAAAATACTAACGACCCATTAATGAATGGGGACACGAAAGGGAAACACTTTCACGTACATGTATTTTTCAAAATTCTTCTTTAGTGTTATTTCAACGAGATAGATTAAGGGTCTAGTTTCGTGAAAGCGATTGGGGGGCTATATATGAATTTTCTATCAATAAATGGCCTCTCAAATAATGGAAAGAGAAACCACACAAAATGGTTTCTGCAATTTGCAAGTAAGAAATGATGAATGGTGAAATTTGATTGTCATTAATATGTTTCTGTATAGGCGTCCTGAGCTTAATTATGTTCAAAGAACAAGAAATCGAGTTCGTTAACAAAAACTGAACTAATTTTAAAAAAATCACTTCTTTTTGTCTAGACCCCTACGTCAAAATAGAGGTCATCCAGCCAGGAAAATCAGCCTTGAAAAGAGTTACCAAGACCAAGAAGAGCACCAGAGACCCAGTTTTCAACGAAAATTACAATTTCCCGGTGTCTTTTAAAATGGACGACATCAGTTACACCTACGTCACTCTGACCGTCTACAGTCACGAACGAATTAAGAGTGACGAGATCATCGGTCAGGTTGGACTCGGATTTGTAGCAACTCAAGATTCTGAAATCAAACATTGGCGGGAAATGATGCAAAACCCCGGTCGGGAGATTTCTGAAATTCACAATCTGCTGGATCTAGACGACGACCAAAAGCTAAAATTATAGCACCATCCATAAAAAATACGATGTTTTGATGTTTTTTTTTTCAAACTCGATAAAGTGAAAGAGAAATATTACCATGGGGCAAGGAACATCCCCCCTACCGGTTTTTCAGTGTTAAATCAGTAAACTATTTTTAAAAAGTTGGCTCTTTTTGGCAAATGGGCCTCATTTTTGAAAAAAAAATAAGATTGATTTCTGTGCAAACCAAGAAGATTTCTATCTGATTACGATTCTGAAAATATTTCATAGGGGGAAATGGACTAATACTAGATTGGAAATGGAAGTCCTCCACAAAATTCATTGATCCGCCTTTGACACCAACCAATATTGAACATCTTTCTTGCATTTACGTTTAAACTAGGGTAATCCTGTGATTTGGAGCAGTGATAAAAATTGGGGTACATATTGAATTTTACAAGGTTATCAACAGTGTTATTTAAGATATGCAAGGTGCTCGTCTGATAACGTTTTATACACAGACGACACAGTTTTGTTTACTAGGGATTGAACAAATGGTTTTGATAAAAGATATTTTCCCTTGCTTTATGTTATGTTTATGAACTTTAACATGCTTCTTTTTTTGAATCTTAACCTATTTTTTAAAAGTTAAACAAATAAAAGTACAACGCAGTTTGAAATACTTTTATCTCTATAATACACTCAGTTACCCATCACGTGATATCGAAGAAAAAAACACCCAAAGATAGTCAGTTTTTGTGATAGCAAGCTGTTTTAATCTAAAAAGATGGAATATTTGCCAATAACCTACAGCCCTCCTGGACCCGAGACCCCGCACAATCCCACACCGATCAGGGATTTATTGAAATCATTGCTACACGAAGAACTGGAAAGTCACAAACAAACGAAACAGAAACCCATAAAATGGAGCAAATCATTCCAACTCCATCACCACTTCCACCCAGGTGAGGTTAAAGTCTTTATTAAGGATGGTATCTTACGGGTTCATGCGAAACACGTACGAGGAGATGACGACGAAAACTTTGACATTCGAGAATCCAAGCGTTGTGTTGTTGTCCCTAGTGACGTCAACCGTAGTCAACTCCATTGTTATAGCCATGGTCACCAGGTGATCGTTGAAGCCCCCTTAATATCTAAAGATGAAAAGAATGAAGAGGAAGGGGAACAAGTTAAGGTGGAGGAGGCAGACGAGATTCCCGATGAGAACGAGACTTCCTGTTTCCGACAAGACATAGATCTGTCCGTCTTTAAAAGTGATCACATCACCGTACGGCGTCGAGAAAATGACGTCACTATCAGAGCTGACCACTGCCAGGATGAGGACGGGGTTAAGGTGTCGCGATCTTTCCATCGTGAATTCAAAATTCCCCCAAACGCTGATGCAGAGAAATTGTGTTGTTATCGAACCAAGAAGGGAAGCTTGGTTTTTAAAGCTCCACTCAACGCTGAAAACGATGGATGATATGTTTGTGTTTATTCATAAAATGCTGAATACGATGCAACTTTTAATATAAGGAGGGTTTTTTACAATGAAGAAAATACAAACTTTGAACTCATCAAAGAGACTAAAAAAGACGAGTGACTAATGCTTGCAAAAGAAACATCTGGAAGTGCATGTTAAATATTGGTTGAAACTTCGAAAATAAACGAAACAAATTTATTTATCAAAAGTCTTTGATGAGTTTGTAGTTTTACTGGTTCAAAGTCATATTAAGGAAGCTCTAAACACTGTACACTAAAGAGTTCCACTATTAGGGTAATTTTTTTATGCACTTAGAGTGATCTGCCCTTAGAAGTAGGATTGAAAAAAATGTTATTTTCAGCCAATTTCACGATCTGTATTAGATTAAAATATTTTCAGTATTATATAATACCAAGAATAAATAATTAAACATAATTAATCAGTATTTTCATTAATTTTCCCAAGGTAAGTAAACAGCAGTGATTTCTGTTCACAAGTAGTCCAATGTCTTTGAACATTATTCTTGCATAAATGAGACAGGTACCCTATGTTATACATGTATTGAATAGAAAAGTCTCAATATGCACACCTTTATGTGATATACTTTTCTTCAAATCCAAAAAGCAGGTTTTGTTAGTGTTTAGAGCTTATACTGTAATATTTCCAATTTTTTTTTTTTTTTTTTTTTTGTGATAACTTTGAAAGTTAGAAGAGTTTATTTCTGGATAAATCTACTGGAATGCAAATTAGGCAAATCGATAGGTCAGGGGCTAAAGGAGGCCAAATATGCATGTGAATCTGAATCTCCTGCGCGTCTCTTTTTGTGCCTAATGCTAAGGAGGCCAAATACGAGTATGCATAAAAATCTCCTGCGGCTGTCTTTGTATTAAAAGTGGGTGAGGACTATTGAAATTGGCATGGGTGTCCTCGTGTAATTTAAATCTATTAATCTACATTTTTAAAATCTAAATATACAATTTTATTTCACAATGAAATAGAAATATAAGGAATCGCTGTCAAGTTAGTACAGTATGCCAGGGACATCAACGATAGTGGGAAACATTGGATAATTTATCCATACGGGGCTTCGCCCGTTAGGCAAAGTATCCCATGTTTCCCGCTATATCGTTGATGTCCTGGCAAACTATACTAACTAGACAGTGATTCCTGTGTTCCATCTTGTTTAATGATCTTTCTAGAAATCGAACAAAACTGGCACAGCTATTTACCGACAAACAGACAGACCTATACCGTAAGTTACATTAGTATTGATATGCCTTCCAGTTTCTGAACAGTAGACCCAAAGATGAATGTGTGGTAACTGGTAAGACAATTGGAACATTAGTTATAACTAAAGTATGTAAATAAATAGACTTTTATATTGAAGATTCTATAATTTATTTTTTCCTGAGAAACAAATTAAAACAATTTCACTTTTAAAATGTCATGTGATAGAAATTAAATTCACAACAGAGTTCATAAGTAAATGACAAAAATATATTGTTGACGTACATGTTATTATCACTTTTTATCACAGTCTGTGTTTACTTGGTTTTATGTAGAGAGGCACTGCCACTTTTTATTTTATCAACTCTGTCCTGTCCAAGCACTTTAGCAATTCTATAAAGGAAATCAAAACTATAAAATAAAATAAAAAAAGATTTTAATTTGTGTTAATACTAAAATCAGTCAAATAAAAAAAGAAAATTCATTAAGGAGAAGCTTTACTATAAACAAAAATACTCATGAAAAAGAGATAAAAAGAGACACAAAACAATTACAAAAGTTCTTCAGGTTTTAAATCGAAAGAGGCATAAGAATTTGAGGAGTGCGAGCATTTTCACCAATGATCAAGTTAGGTTGTTTCTAGCTTCATCCCTCTTCTCAAGGGACTAGAATTTTCAATTAAATTAATATATCATTCTTTTTTTAAACCAATCATATAGTTTTTCTGCTCTATCACTAAACAAGAACATTTTCAAACATTTTTCATTACAACCAACCTAGCCTTGAACCTTTCATTCATTGGACAAAAGGATGTAGGAGAAAAAATTCTCATGATAAGGTTACAGTCCATATAAATGTCATGACAAAAGGACTTTTAAGGTTTCATTCATTTTATGTCATATGATCGACTTCCATAACTTTAGGTCTTGGAGCTTTTGATATGGTTCCAGAGAAGGTAAGTTATAAATTCAGAACAGATGTACCAAAATAAACTAACACTGATTTAGAGGCTTCAAGGAAAACACTGAATAAAATGTTCAACAGTGATTGGTGACTGTGCACCTTATATATACATGCAGTAAAGCTTGATTTTTTAGAATTCCTTTATAATAAAAATCTTGGTTTAATATAAGGGATATTTACCTTTAAACCACCTAAATGACTTGGCAATGTGTTCCTTATATGTTTACAAAGAACCCCTATTTTAAAAAAGTAAATTTGAAATCCGCATGATTATTTTACTACCAATTTATACTCTTTTGTCCATATGCAGATAATTCGGCAGTAGGAGATTTTTTTATGACATGATATATTACAAATATTATACTTCTGATGAAAACTACACTATAAAAGATCAATTATGCATCCTTCTAACCTTTTGGCTGTTGATGGAAGGAACTGGAAGAGATACACATAAAATAGTTCAGGGTGAGGTGAGATCCACACCTCGTCCAGTCTGTTTGCCATGGCGACGGCCATCAGTGTGGCACACCTCTCAGAACTCATCCTCTTCTCCCGGGGATCCATAGTGACTCCCAGGGACTGGAAAAAAGAAGAAAAAGTGTCTGATTCAGTCAGGGTGTTAAAAATGCACCCCCAGTAGATGTGGAGCATAGTCCATAGTCCATAAGTTACAACCCACTCTGACTATACTTTGGTGTATTAAAGTTCACTTGCCTGAAATACACAGTTTATTTACATGTATGTAAAATGTTCACCTGGGGCTTTACAGGAATCTCTTTTTTGCAATACAATGAATATTTTTAGCTATAGCTAGTTGATATATAAATTATAACATTTTCACATTTTTTATAATCTTCATCTGGTATATCAAACAGAATATCTCTAATACCAAAGGCATGTCAAAGTGATTTGAAAGTCCTTTAAACCACATATTTCTTTTTGAGGTGTATTCCCCTCTAGAATAAGAATATGAGGTATATTTACTGTATCTATTTTATCTGTAAAAGCGTGAACCAGGGCTTCTGAGAACACAGGTCCTGGACATACAGAGGTTACATTTATATTGTAGGGGTACATCTCGGTCCTCAGGGCATCCAGCCAGCCCTAAAACACAGAAACTAAATACAGTATGAAATAGACATGGAAACTAAAATCTCAAATTGTTTGCTCTTGTCTTTTCACAAAAAAGTCACACTTGGCTTGTGAAGATGCTAAAAACTCTTAGATAAATCAAACACCAAGAAACTTTGAATTGTGCATATAAGACAGGAGATGGGAAGTTGTGAAATATTGCTAAGATTACAATGCTGTTACTTTACCTGAAGTGCATGTTTAGAACAGGCATAGGATCCCAAACCAGGTGATCCTGTAATTGACAAGAAAATATTGAATTACTGTTGCACAGCGATGTGTGTTGAACAAAAAAATTACCAATTTATAATCTTAAGAATCAATACATATTGGATTTTTGAATCTTTTCAATCATAAAGAGTCTCATTAATCATTTAATACATAGATTTTAGGAGACCTGGATATCTAAAGTTTTAAATTCATATCTTCATACTGTCATTACAAAAACCATTTTTAAGTACATAGTCCATATGATTTTACCAATTTTTCCTGCTATGCTACTTGTAAAAACAACATGTCCAGCTATTCTCTCCATGAAGTGTGGAAGGACAGCTTTGGTCAGTGATATGGGACTGAGTGTATTAATCTCGAAAACTTGTCTGTCCACTTCGACTGGGCATCGCTCAATCAGGGACCTCTGGGATCGACCAGCATTGTTCACCAATATGTCAATCTACCACAAAATATTTTCAAGTGTATCACGAGGGCACATGATCTACCCATCAGAAAAGAAGGCCATCATAAATTGTATGTGCTTTGACTATGTATAACCATAAAATTTAAAAGTGAGGTCGGAGTGACCTATTTTGGGGTTGTGACTTATCTTGACCCCAAAATGCATCAACTAACAAAGTTTAATGATTACATATTAAGATTTGAGACAAGATTTGACTATATATAACTAAACAATTCCAAAATGAGGTCACTGCAACCTACTTCTGACTTGTGTCACACTTTTTCCCAAAATTCAACAGTTCAACTGAGTTTTTTTACTAAGGTGAGATAAAGCTATTCTGACCCATCAACTTTTTATGGCTGATGAGTATGGGACATGATAAGGCATTGATATCAAGTGATGTTTTACCTTCTTAAAATATTTCAAAACTGTTTCTACTGCATCAGAATGAGACTTTAGATCAAGCAAATCCAGTGGGAGGACCAGTATATTTTCTTTCTTCAAGTATCCACGATCTGTGCATGAAAAAAAGTCGGATACAATTTTTCTTGTATTCTGATTGACTCATTTCAGTCGTTTACAATGTACTGTATGACTTGTTTCAGTTACGGTACTTATGATTTTCTGTATACCTATCATGTTCTGTTTGACTTTTTATAAAGTAACCTATGATGTTCTATTTGACTTAATTGTGATAGTTACATGTACTTCTGATGTTCAGTTTGCATTCTTTAAGTTACCTATGATGTTTTGTTCATCTTATTTTAGTACTTATGACTTATTTTAGTTACCTACCCCAGTATAATGTTTTACCTGACCTGTTTTGATTATACCTATAATGTTCTGCTTGACCTGTTTTAGTTACCTATGATGTTCTACTTGACCTGTTTTAGTTACCAATAATGTTCTACCTGACCTGTTTTAGTTACCAATAATGTTCTACTTGACTTGTATTAGTTACCTATGATATCTACTTGACCTGTTTTAGTTACCAATTATGTTCTACCTGACCTATTTTGATTACCTCCAATGTTCTGCTTGACCTGTTTTAGTTACCAAAAAAGTTCTATCTGACCTGTTTTAGTTACCTATGTTGTTCTGCTTGACCTGTTTTGATTACCTATAATGTTCTGCTTGACCTGTTTTGATAATACCTATGATGTTTTACTTGACCTGTTTTAGCTTGACCTGTTTTAGTTACCTAAAATGTTCTGCTTGACCTGTGTTAGTTACCTAAAATGTTCTGCTTGACCTGTTTTAGCTACCTAAGATGTTCTGCTTGACCTGTTTTAGTTACCTAAAATGTTCTGCTTGACCTGTGTTAGTTACCTAAAATGTTCTGCTTGACCTGTTTTGATTACCTATAATGTTCTGCTTGACCTGTTTTGATTACCTATGATGTTCTACTTGACCTGTTTTAGTTACCTGTGATGTTCTACTTGACCTGTTTTAGTTACCTATAATGTTCTGCTTGACCTGTTTTGATAATACCTATGATGTTTTACTTGACCTGTTTTGATTACCTATGATGCTCTACCTGTTTTAGTTACCTATGATGCTCTACCTGTTTTAGTTACCTATGATGCTCTACCTGTTTTAGTTACCTATGATGCTCTACCTGTTTTAGTATTCATTACCTATGATGTTCTGCTTGACCTGCTGTAACCTTTCCTCTCTCCTGGCAGACAGCACCAGACTACAACCATCAGCAGCTAGTCTATAAGCCAGAGACTCCCCTATACCACTAGAGGCTCCAGTGATCCAAACCACCTTATCTTTCAGTGTACCTTAAAAATTATTTTCAAAAAATTAAATGGGTATACATTTGAATGAAAAATGTTACATAATCAAACAAATATACTAATAACTGATCTTGAAAATGTGCCTCTTAACCATTGAAAAAAAGGTGAAATTATTCATCTGTTTTTTGTCTTTATCTGACTCTAATCTGATGAGAACTATCCAATATGAAAAATAACTAATTCAAGTACTAAGGTCATGGCCATTTCATAAATGTGTTCTCCTATTTGAAAATTATTTACCGTAATCAGATTCAAAAATTAAAATAACTTTAAGCAGAAAAATATAATTGTATGTGAAATTACTATAAAGGACTGCAATTTATTCAGAAAAAGAGATTCAATGACAGCAATTTTCTTTTCTAAATTACTACTCCTTGTTTTTGAACCACCAATATGTTATTCGATAATCAAGATGGAATATGAAGTCTCGGAAAACTTTTGAACTGTTATTACATAATAAAGACAGAGAATGAAGTCTACAGCAATCAACTCTCCTGGGATAAAAAGTAAAATTAAGTTATAGAGTAATATAGCAGAGACCTTGAAGTTAATGGTGCTGTTTAATAACTGAGATAAAAACTCACCGAAAATGCTTATTGACAAAAAGAAATGCTAGTAACCGTATGTATGCCCTTGAATGTCTGACTCAATCGTACTAATTGTCACACAAAATATACATTTAAAACAAGGATGAGACATGTTAAAAGATTATAAATAAAAAAAATACATGTAATGTATACCCTGGTAGTACAGTGTCCATTTACTCATGTATATGTAGTCCATGTCTGTACTCCTACAAGTAAGAGTCTCGGTTAATGTCTCTATGCTCCTTATATACCATTGACATGGTGTCAAGTCGCTGTGAACCTCTGGCATGCTGGAGTATCCATGCTTTTCAGTGAAAATCTGAAAGCTTAAGCAATTCATTACCTCCCACATTTTATGAAAAATCATTTCTTACCTGTTGCATATCCAAACTTTTCTGCCCATTGAAGTTCTAAGTCACAGTCTGAGAGAAATAATCGCACACACTGGACAATCATACCCACCACCAAAAGCATAACAATAACTGATAGCCAGTCCATTCTGTAAACCTGAAACTAAATATTCAAAATATTCAGAAATGCATGGTTTTTTCTATGCACAAATTTAAATATTTCTGCTGTTAATACACGTATATACAGTGTAACAGGAAAAGGGAAAAATGCTACAGACAAGGATTTTAAACCATGCAGCCCCCCTACCCCCTCAATCTCAAGTCAGACCGCCTCATTCCTCCTTGCTTAATTACTTACTGTAAAATCACATATTTTCGTCGGGTGAAATTTTCATGGTTTGAGGAAATAATATTGGTTTGGGGGAATTGATTTCATGGTTGGAAAATGTTAAGTGGTAATGCTTAGAAAAATTTTCATTTCATGGTCATAAATTTGTGGGTCTCTCCATACCTAGAAAACAACGGAAATTAACCCCCAAGTGATTTCTCACTAATTAAAGGTCTTCAGCCCTAAAGACACCATCCCAGACTCTTCCCTGGCAGGTCTTTCACCCATTACTTCCAGGGCATATTGGCATTGGTACCAAACAGTACAGGAAAGGTGAGAAATTCAATTGCAATGGACCAGACCAGTTTCAAACCCCAGACTCCCTAAATCTCCAATCATGTACTCTACAAACTATTATACTATCAGACCACCCACGATCAAACCTGGTCTGAAGTCTCTGGTCTCCATCAAATTTCCCTTCCTTTTAGTAAACAGTCCTGTAGGAACTGGAGGAAGGGGGTTCAATAATTATGTTTGATGACCTTTCATTTCCCATGTCAAGGATTTTTTGATTGCTATTCCCCCCTCCCCCAATACATTTTATGCTTTATTTGTAATGGCATACTAGAATTTGGGAGTGGGACAGATTTTTCAAACAAGATGTGTTTGTGAAAAACTATGACCCTCGGCAACAAAGTTCGAAAAAAAAACTATTTTTAGCATATAGGTCACAGTCAAGGTCACAAGGTCATTGACCTTGATGTCGTTTGAAAGAACCTGATTAGTGGAGTATGCATACCAATTATGAAGTCTCTTTCTTTTATGGTTCAAAAGTTATGGTGAAGGTATGAAAAAGCTTTCATGTCCAAAATTTATGGCGAAGGTTATAATTTGCAGACAATAAAGCTATTTTTAGCATATAGGTCACAGTCAAGGTCACAAGGTCATTGATCTTAGTGTCATCTGAAAGAGCTTAATTAATAGTGGAGTACGCATACCAAATATGAAGTCTCTATCTTTCATGGTTCGTAAGTTAAGGTTCAAGTTTGAAGACATAAAAGCTATTTTCAGCATATAGGTCACAGTCAAGGTCACAAGGTCATATTGATCTTAGTGTCATTTGAAAGAGCTTAACAAATGCTAAATTAGTGGAGTATGCATATCTAATCTGAAGTCTCTATCTTTCATGGTTCAAAAGTTATGGCGAAGGTTATACTGTTATAGTTTGCAGACAAACAGACAGACAGGACAAAAACAATATACGCCCCGAATCCATCGATCCAGACGCATAAAAATATTTTTGAGAGTGCAAATTAGGTGCAAATGCACAGCATGCGCAGTGATACGGAATTTAATTTAAATCTTCAAGTGAAAAACTCAGGGTGTCAGTTGTTGAACGATCCTGTTACATCAGATTGGGGACACTTATCGGGGAGAAAAGTTTACAGCTCGAATGACGCTGTTTTCTAAACCTTACCTGACTTTTTGGTCAAAATCTACCACCGATCGGATCCTTCGGTCTCACACAAGTTCTTCTGCACGTGCAACTTCCGGTGTCTTGTAAACAGAAGGGAGGTATAATATGAATACATTTTTATATCTCGTAACCAGCCTCTATAACCAGGCAGAGCGCATGCGCGCAACAAATTTACATCGAGTTCGGAAAACAGCAGAGAGGAAATTCGGAATATATAACGAAAACTAGTAGTGCTATTCTCAGATGCAGAAATTTATGCATAATTCAATAAAATTCTATTTAAAAAGCCGAAGAATTAATAACTCGACATTGCAATTAGTTTTTATTTGTTTATTTAATCTTTTATTTATTTATTTATTTATTTATTTATTTATTTATTTATTTATTTTTATTTTTTTTTATTGTAATAATTATTAATAAACTAAGTAACTTATTTATTCATTAGGAAATTTATTTGTCTGTTTATTTATAAATACATTCTTTTCTTCATTAATTAATTATTCTAATGAGTAATCAATTCTTTTATTTATTTATTTATTTATTATTATTTATTTATTTATTTATTTATTTATTTATTTATTTATTCATTCATTCATTCATTTACTTTTTTTCTCTCTCTCTCTGTTATAGACAGGTTCTGTTTATGTATTGCAAGGGTTTATGTTCCCATAACCAAGGTTTGTATACCCTTCACCAGAATCTATATACACATCACCAGGGTCCATTTTATCTATCACCAGGGTTTATATACCAATCACCAGGGTCTATATTATCTATCACCTGGGTCAATATTATCTATCACCAGGGTCTGTATACCCATCACCAGGATCTGCATACCCATCACCAGGGTCTATATACCCATCACCAGGGTCCATATTATCTATCACCAGGGTTTATATACCCATCACCAGGGTCTATATTATCTATCACCAGGGTCTGTATACCCATCACCAGGGTCTATATACCCATCACCAGGGTCTATATTATCTATCACCAGGGTCTGTATACCCATCACCAGGGTCCATATTATCTATCACCAGGGTTTATATACCCATCACCAGGGTCTGTATACCCATCGCCAGGGTCTATATTATCTATAACCAGGGTCTGTATACCCATCACCAGGGTCTATATACCCATCACCAGGGTTTGTATTATCTATCACCAGGGTCTGTATACCCATCACCAGGGTCTGTATACCCATCACCAGGGTCTATATACCCATCACCAGGGTCCATATTATCTATCACCAGGGTTTATATACCCATCACCAGGGTCTGTATACCCATCACCAGGGTCTATATACCCATCACCAGGGTCCATATTATTTATCACCAGGGTTTATATACCCATCACCAGGGTCAATTTTCACATCACCAGGGTCCATATTATCTATCACCAGGGTTTCTATACCAATCACCAGGGTCTATATTATCTATTACCAGAGTCTGTATACCCATCACCAGGGTCTATATACCCATCACCAGGGTTTGTATTATCTATCACCAGGGTCTGTATACCCATCACCAGGGTCTATATACCCATCACCAGGGTCTGTATACCCATCACCAGTGTCTGTATACCCATCACCAGGGTCTATATACCCATCACCAGGGTCTGTATACCCATCACCAGGGTCTGGTTACCCATCACCAGGGTCCATATTATCTATCACCTGGGTTTATATACCCATCACCAGGGTCTATATACCCATCGCCAGGGTCTATATTCACATCACCAGGGTCTATATTATCTATCACCAGGGTTTCTAAACCCATCACCAGGGTCTATATTATCTAACACCAGGGTCTGTATACCCATCACCAGGGTCTATATACCCATCACCAGAGTCTGTATACCTATCACCAGGGTCTGTATTACCTATTACCAAGGTTTATATACCCATCACCAGGGTCTATATTATCTATCACCAGGGTCTGTATACCCATCACCGGGGTCTGTGTACCCATCACCAGGGTCTATATACCCTTCACCAGGGTCTATATTTTCTATCACCAGGGTTTGTATACCCATCACCAGGGTCTGTATACCCATCACCAGGGTTTATATATCAATCACCAGGGTCTATATACCCATCACCAGAATCTATATATCAATCACCAGGGTCTATATACCCATCACCAGAATCTATATATCAATCACCAGGGTCTGTATACCCATCACCAGGGTCTGTATTATCTATCACCAGGGTCTGTATACCCATCACCAGGGTCTGTATTATCTATCACCAGGGTCTGTATACCCATCACCAGGGTCTGTATTATCTATCACCAGGGTCTGTATACCCATCACCAGGGTCTGTATTATCTATCATCAGGGTCTGTATACCCATCACAAGGGTCTGTATACCCATCACCTGGGTCCATATTATCTATCACCAGGTTCTGTATGCCCATCACCAGGGTCTATATACCCATCACCAGGGTCTGTATACCCATCACCAGGGTCTATATTTTCTATCACCAGGGTTTGTATACCCATCACCAGGGTCTGTATACCCATCACCAGGGTTTATATATCAATCACCAGGGTCTATATACCCATCACCAGAATCTATATATCAATCACCAGGGTCTATATACCCATCACCAGGATCTATATATCAATCACCAGGGTCTGTATACCCATCACCAGGGTCTGTATTATCTATCACCAGGGTCTGTATACCCATCACCAGGGTCTGTATTATCTATCACCAGGGTCTGTATACCCATCACCAGGGTCTGTATTATCTATCACCAGGGTCTGTATACCCATCACCAGGGTCTGTATTATCTATCATCAGGGTCTGTATACCCATCACAAGGGTCTGTATACCCATCACCTGGGTCCATATTATCTATCACCAGGTTCTGTATGCCCATCACCAGGGTCTATATACCCATCACCAGGGTCTGTATACCCATCACCAGGGTCTATATACTTATTACCAGTTTCTGTGTATTGATCACTTTTCTCTATATTAACAATGGTGTATATCAGGAAGAGTCTGTATTTGCAAGGGTTTGGTTTTTAATATAACCAAGAGTATGTGCATCGCAGAGGGTTTGTCAAGGGTCTTAGTATTAACAAGGGTCTATGACTCTATGTATCACGCAGGGTTTTTGTCATCAAGGGTCTATGTATCATAAAAAGTATGTATATTACCAATGCCATGTGTTTCACCAACGGTACGTGTATCACCAAGGGACTGTATCACGAAGGTTATGTTTATCATGGGTCTGTGTATTACAAAGGGTCTATGTATAACCAAGGGTCTGTGTATTACCAAGGGTCTATGTATCACCGAGGGTCTATGTATCACCAAGGGTCTGTTTATCTCCAAGGGCCTTTGTATCACCAAGGGTCTGTGTATCACAAAGGGTTTGTGTATCACCTAACGTCTTTGTATTACCAAGGATCTGTGTATCACCAAGAGTTTTCACCTAGGGTCTATGCATCACCTTGGGTCTTTGTATCATCAAGGGTCTATATATCACCAAGGGTCTGTGTATCACCAAGGGTTTGTGTACTTTTGTCCATTAGCAATGATCATTAATCCATCAGAAGAGTGTGTATACTTATTACATAAGTCTGAAAAGCCATATTAAGGATTTTCCCTCTTGTTGGGCCGAAGTACCTTATTTTCTGTAGGATGTCCAACATTTTTTGCATTATCAAAATGAAATCCAATTTTTTGAAGGATGTCTTTGGGTGTGTTCAGTTACAAGGTTAACATCTTATAGAGAAGGCCTGATCGAATTGTATAATGAACTATAATGATTGTCTTGAGATTAAAGCCATATATGGCGTATGTACAATGAAAATTATTAGACTAAAATAATAAGAACTTATTATTTGTATCATTACTTTATATAAAGATAGAACTTTTCCGTAAATTACAAAATCTAAGTCAATTGCGTTATAAAGATATCACAATTTAATTTGCATTCTCGGAATTTTCTCCGATTCGGAAGAAAATACAAAAGATTTAAATAACACAATACAGAGAAGATAAAATCGTATAGTTAGTTGAAACGAGGTGTTCTCCGTGTTCAGAATTGTATGAAAAGTTTTAATACAATGAAGCGCGTTGAAGTGGTAAAATTTTCCTTTCGGATGAAACGTTCCGAGTCATGTTTTGAATGTCAATTATAACAAAATGACACGCCCATTTTTTTTAGAAACTAACAAGAAATATTCGTCGTAATGTTTTAGGAAACCCCACTCTTTGCGACAAGCAACATGTATTTCACCGAAATGGAGATTTTTAGAGTTATAAAAAATATCTAGAGAGTCCCAACTTCTGTAAAACACGTATTGCAATGAATTTGTACATTTATCATGTTTATTGGAGTTACAATAACACATGTATTGGTCGAACACGTGCTTACTCTGTGTTTATGAAGACCGTCAATATGATTGGATATTATATTTATGGAATACCTGTTCTACAGGTATTCGAATGAAGAATTTGACCGATTTTTCCTTTCTAAAGAAATAGGCGTGACAATCAAAATTCTAAAGATAGCTCAAAACGTTCTATTCAAACGGGAAATTTTACCACTTCAATGCGCTTCGTTGTATATATAGATGTATTTACTATATTTCTTCTCTTAATTTTGTATTTTTTAAAATTATACTTTTTGATCAGTTACGCCATATATGGCTTTAAAATTTCTTGATCTAAAGTTATTATTTTATGTTGTCATTATAGCATACCTTTTTTTATTTTGTAGTTGAATCCTGTTAAGGAGGAAGCAAAGGACATTGAACTTTATATCGATAGACAAAGATTTTTTATTTATGTGGAAATATTTTGACATTGAAAATTTCAGTCATTATGTATCTTGATTCATCTATTTCATAAATGGAAAGAAATCATAAAATTCCATTATGTTGTTCATTTGTTCCACAGAAAATCCGAACATATACATCTCTTCATAATTAATGAATAAAGTGTGCAATGGTAGAAATCCTCACAAAAGTAGATCGACCAACACAAAGTTCAAATTTCATTTATGTTCGATGTAGAGGTTTATGACAGTAGAACAAAAGTGCCAAAATAG